CCATGATTTGAACACTGACTTTCCGAGTGACAGTACGCAATGCTAACCACTCGGCGATTGCGGTCGTCGGGACTTATACATGTTTTTACTTACCAATTTCGGGAGCTGAGAATTATTCCCACTTTAAGAGCTTTCTCACATACCCAGGCTTGACTGTATATACGAGTTCAAGTATGTATGTATGTATAGGCAATACGAAATTTGTACTTTTATGTGGTTTGTTATTTTATGCTTTTAATATATTTTTTTTTGTCAAATGTTGTATATGTATCCATATATAATATGTGTCTGTGATTGTGAAGATGTCTGCCCACATGCATACATACGTATTTATCTACATACATACAGCATATGTGGTCATACGCTTAGATGAAGCGTACGTCGAGTGTTTTGTAAATAGACAAAAAGCGGTCAATTCAAAATTGCATAGCAACAACAACAAGAGTAGCATTCGAAAAAAGTGAATTCATTTGAACTTAAAGAGTTGAATTATTCACTTATAATAAAATTTGATCGCTTGACAACGACACTTTGCGAGCGAGCTATGCTGTGCGACAGGCCCATATGACGATGGAGTGGGGTGAAGCTTGCTCGGTTTGCCAAATTGGGCATATTGCCAAATGAAGAGGCGACAACAACAACGTCGACAATAGCAACAAAAGAAAACAAACAAACAGACCCAACTTGAATGCTTAAGAGCACTGTGTACTTCTAACTAAAATGTATGTATGTATGTATGTATGTATGTGTGCTAGTGTAAGCACAATATAAACTAAACTATGGCTGATGAGCGTTGAATGCTGTCACATTTTGACTTTTGCAATTTAACATATTTTTTTTTCATATTTGTTGTTGTTGCTTTTGCGTTTGTAAATATACACTTACGACATATTCATCATCTCTTAGCACAACCACTCGCCTAGTGAGCGTTGTTGTTCCTATTTATTTAGCCTATTATTCTATTGCCAATTGCCGCAACACGCCAGCCAGCCAGCCAGCCAGCCAGCCTACTTCACTAGCTGCCAAAATTGCAAAGCTTCTTGTTTATTGTTAAACCCCTGTCTGACGGTGTACACGCTGCGGCGTGGTGTTGTCGCTGACGGTGTTGCTACTGTCGGTGTCGGTGTCAGTGTCGGTATCGCTATCGCTATCGCCGCGAGCTGTCAGAATAATGTCAACGCTTCGGTGGTGCATTTGAGCGGTAAATCATGCATGAATACAAAAGGAAAAAAGTTTTAGTGACAACAACAATGTGCAGCAGAAAGACAAATAGTGATCTTCTCGATTGTTTGACGAGTGTAAAAAGCGGAATATGCCTATGAGTTATCTATGGCTTGCGGGCATAACTTTCACAATATACATATTTATGAGTAAAGGATATATGTATGTATGTATGTAGTTGCTTAAAATGGCTTTGGCAAATTTTTACTTGAGGTTGATCGAGTCTCTCGCCATGCCATTTAATTATGATAAATGAAATGACGCGATCACTGATGATCTAACTATGTTTACTTTGAGCACAAATTCCAAGAGGACTTCGGTTCACAACTCAAGCATAGAGGAAAATCCATTAGGTCAATGTTAAGATGAACGAGGTCAGGTAGGGGAAACAGCACTGTCGGGGTTGCTTTCGAAATTTCCGATCTCTCGGCTTACGATTTTCAGCGTAGTTGACAAAACAAATTGGACTAATGCCAACGACAGATATGATCTTTTTCGGCACCCTTAAATAATTATTGCAGCTTCGTCACCATCGAGGAGGGCCTCTCCGATGCCAAACGAGTTTTCAGGCAAGGTGATTCCTTATCGTCTGACCTCTTCATTCATTGCCGGGAGAAAATAATACGAGCTGCATAGCTGAATAGCGCAAACCCATGATATTGAAATTATTGGCTTCAACAGCCTCGCCTTGAGGTCTGCTTCCTCCAGACTGGATAGGTAAGCGAACCGTGTGGTTTTGGTAGTGAACGCGGTCAAGACGAAATATCTCCTGTCATGAAACAAACAATCAACTCTTTCACGACATCAAACAAACAGTCAACGCTTTCACGACTCGGCTTCCACGTGACAGTCATAACTTTGAAGTTGTAGATAACTTCGTTTATATTAAAACAAGTATTAACACCAACAATAATGTCAATCTGGAAATCCAGCGTAGAATCACTCTTGCCAACAGCTGCTACATTGGATTGAGCAGGCAATTTAAAAGTAAAGCCATTTCTCGGCGAACGAAAACCCAACTCTACGAGTCCCTCATCGTTCCCGTCCTGCTATATGATGCGAAGGCATGGACGATGACAACATCTTATGAGTCGGAGTTGGGAGTTTTCGAGAGAAAGGTTTTGCAGAAGTTCGTCTACGAGTGTGGGTGAATAAATGAACAGTTAGTCTCATTATAGATACATTAAAAAAAACTGAAAGTGCCGAAACATATCACCTAAAGCTACAACACGGTACAAGAACTCACAAATACCCAAGGGTCTAAAATAAAATTCAGAAGTGTAGCAGCCAGTAAGACATTGATTTCCAGAAAAAAATCGGCTTAACCATTTACAATATGTACGGTCGGCACGTCAATTCGCTAGTGAAACGAAATATTTGGATGGACTGAGAAGACTTCGCCCATCGGACAATAGCTACTCAAAGCCCCGACACTATATCCATACTGTGAAGCATGGCGGTGGTATTCAGGAATCGGGAATGTTTTAATGGGTTTGGCGATGGACCTCTATATCTAACATTATTCAAAATTTATTAAATAAAGTTTGCTTTCTAAAGAGTTATAGGAAAGACACACAAAATTCGGAAAAATGCATGAAATCTTTATGCGAATCGGTACTACGGTTCATATAATTTAATGTTTGAAGATTATTTCGTGACTGCGCCTTAAATGGTCCATCCGCTTAGTTCAATTTTTGCATACTCTTTCCAACATTTCCGAAGGGATCCTACGAATAACTGTTTCAATGTTATTCTCCAATGCTTCAATTGAAGCTGGCTTCACAAAAAATAGTCTAAAGGCGTTAAATCGTACGATCTAGGCGACCAAATGAAATAAAACGTGAAATAAAATGTTCACGGAACTCGCCTCTCAATAAGCCCATTGTTACGCGTGCTGTGTGGCATGTAGCACCGTCTTGTTAAAACCACATGTCGTGCAAGTAGAGCTCTTGCATTTTGAGCATTTTGATATCATCTCACGGTAGCACTCACCATTCACAGTCACGTTACGATTTGCATCATCTTTGAAGAAGTACGGTCCAATGATGCCACCAGCCTATAAAACGCACCAAACAGTGACTTTTTCTGAATGCATTGGTAGCTTTTGCAATGCTTCTGTCTGATCATCACTCCAGAATCGACAATTCTGCGTATTTACACACCCATGGAGCCAAAAATTAGCTTCCAAGCGCACGATTCATGGTTAAAATATAGACCAAACTGATGATGTTTGACAGTGATACAAAACAGAAAACGTGCGTCAGCTGCTTAAACCAGTGTTGTTAAAAAGATAATACCTAAAAAATCACCTTTTATTAATAGTTATTGTAATATATTTTGTTGCGCTGAACATTTAAGATCTTTAGTAAGATTTCTTCCGGCAATGGTAATACCTGTCATGGGTATCCATGAAATCTATGTTTTGTCCGACACTGTTTTTATATAAAAAATAAATAAATAAAAATTCCGAAAGTTTAGCGTTTTCAAAACAATAAACAGAATTAAATAGTTTTTGAAAACCATATATTTGTTAAACAGAATTTCGTGTACCGAATTTCGATGTAAGATCATTTCGAAAGCGATCCTGCTCGCTCGATATCTTTACGATTATACAGTTAAGAACACTTACCTACCCTCTACTAAGAATTGGTTGTGCTAGAAGTGCTCTCAAGTAATTAGTTCTCATATCGAAGTGCAATTCTCAATTCTCAGCACACAATTGACACTTAAACATAAAATGGCCTGCTTATCATTTTCATTTGTTCTGATTTAAAGTAGCGAGCGATAAGATCATTCGGTAATAAATTGTGTGCCTGAACGCCTGAAGTCATTATCTACGTAACGAACCAGCACTAATACTACCCACAAGTTTTATCTATATATACATACATATATATGTACATATGTATTTGTTTACATAAATTTTTGTAGTTGGATTACCTAAATGTTCGTAGAACTTGTGATTATTTTTTTTTTAGTTTGAAATCATTTTGGAATACGTACATACCTACATATTTATGTAGTTAGAAAGTTTTAATTTCATTTTACTACTTTACTTTCATTTTCTCTTCGTTTTCATTAGCGTTTGGAATAAATATTTATTTTAATGCTAACATTTCATGGGCTTATTTAATTCGCTAAACATCTGTTTTTAACCGTTAAACATAGTTAGGCGAATAGTTGTTGTTTTTCGTCTTCAAAAAGTATTTTATTTACTTGTATTAAACTTACAAAAGTACCTAAAAATGTAGTGTACCTACACACATATGTATGTATATATATAAATATGTATATATGTCTGTTTTCTTTTATCTGTTTAGTGCATGTTTTTTTTGAGTTTCATGTTTCCTCTTGTTTATTTAGAATCGCAATATGTTTTTTTATTTTTTTTTTTTGCTTAAATATACAAAAAAAATTCCAAGCAAAGAACGGATGTTGATAAAATAATTTAAAAAACGCAATAAAATTATCATTTTAATTGTATCTATTTTTCACATAATTTTATTTACCAATTTACGAAATTCCTTTTGACTCTATTTATTTGCCAAATAATTCTAAAACATTTATTTACCCCATTTGTTTAATTTTCCACATTCTATTTTTGTTTCTATGTACATCTATATGTATGTATGTGTTCACGCCTACTCCTTTGCTTCTAAGAAGTTTTCTTTTATACCTTCTCTTTTGTAGTTTTCCACATAAAATATATTTGCCTTAAACGAAAAATCTGTTTTTAATTAAAGTAAATTTTTGTTTTGTTTTTTTTCTTCTATTTTTAGGTAAGTTTGTTACGATATGCACAAGCGTGTAAGTGTTTATGTTAAGTGAAAATTTTCCACCAAAACTATTTTTGTTAATTTTTTCGCAATATGCCCACATTTTTTATTGTCAATTGAACAGCTTAGAATAATCATAAAAAAATTAATAAATATAAAAACAAAAAAATTAAAAATAAAACAAAACAAGAACAAAAAATATGATAAAAAATAAAATATGAATAAAAAAAAAAATATGAATAAAAAAAAAAATAAATAAAAAAAAATAAATTAAAAAAAATAAGTAAATAAAAATAAGTAAATAAAAATAAATAAATAAATAAATAAAAATAAATAAATAAATAAATAAAAATAAATAAATAAATAAATAAATAAATAAAAATAAATAAATAAATAAAAATAAATAAATAAATAAATAAATATAAATATATATATAAAACTAAAAAAAAAATAAACAAAAATAAATAAATAAAAATAAAGAAATAAAAATAAAGAAATAAAAATAAATAAGTAAATAAATAAATAAATAAATAAATAAATAAATAAATAAATAAATAAATAAATAAATAAATAAATAAATAAATAAATAAATANAATTAATAAATAAAAAAACAAAAACATTTAAAAATGAAAACAAAAAAGAAATAAAAATAAATAAAAACCAAAAAAAAAAATAAAAATAAATAAAAACCAAAAAAAAAAAATAAAAACCAAAAAAAATAAAAACCAAAAAAAAAATTAAAAACCAAATAATAAAAATTAAAAACCAAATAATAAAAACTATAAAAACAAAAAAAAAAAATTAAAATTAAAACAAGAATAAAAATAAAAACCCAAAACAATAGAAACCAAAAAAGAAAATAAAAACCAGTTAAAAAAAAATATAAAATAAAAATAAAAACCAAACAAAAAAACAAAAATAAAAACCAAAGAAAAAAATAAAAGTAAAAGCAAAATAAAGATAATAATAAAAACAAAAACAAACAATAAAAATAAAAACCAAAAAAAAAAATTAAAGAAGAAACCTAAAAAAAAATGAAGATAAAAATTAAAAATATAGAAATAAATACAAAAAAATAGAAGTAAAAATAAAAACAAAAAAAATAGAAATAAATACAAAAAAATAGCAATAAAAATAAAAACAAGAAAAAAAAACACTAAAATAGCCGGAGCTTATCATACTGTCGTTTTATATAGCTTAAAGAGCCTCAAAGATAGTTCAGTGGAAAATCAATCTTGGTACAGGGTTTCCCAATAAGAGGTGTCATTTTCATGTCCAAAGAAAAATTGCATTTTTTGAGATAGTGATTGCTTATTTCAATGTTAGGAGGAAGATATGCCATTAATAATTGAAAATTAATTGAAAACAATATCAAAAACAAAAGGAATGAATTCTCCATTACCAAATCGCAAATCAACTGCTGTTTGCCCTCAATAGTTTCACAAATTCCATCCTTGATGTCTGGAATGTACTTTGGCTTGTAGGCGCAGACCTTACCCTCCACGTGAGCCCAAAAAAAAGAGTAGTCGCAAGATGTTAAATCACAAGACGTCGGTGCCCATATGCGATCCTCTTCGGAGACGAAGTGGTACGGACAGGAAAAGGTTGTAATCCATTGGTGCCGGGTCCGGACTATAAGGTGGGTGCATTAGGACCTCCCATCCGAGCACAATTCGGCCTCTGTGATCAAAGATGGCCTCTTCTGAATGAGTGCTGCCTTCAAGCGGTCCAGTTGTTGACAGTAGAGGGCCGAATTAAACATTTGGCCATAGGGGAGCAGCTTGTAATAGATGATTCCTTGCCAATCCCACTAAAAACACAGCAAAACCTTCCTAGTCGTCAATACGGTCTGGACCGCTCCCCGAGCTTTGTCGACGACCGTTTGCTGTCGTAAGTAAGCTATTTTTCATCGCCAGTCACAATCTGCTTCAGAAACGGGTCGATTTTTTTGCAATTCAGCAGCGAATCGCAGATGGAAATTCTGTCCGTCATGTGTTATTTGCGTTAGTTCGTGTGGCATCCAAGCATCGAGCTTCTTTTTGAATCCAAAGTTATGCAGATGGTTCCAAAACGTTTCTGGCTTATCTTTAGTTCCTCAGCAATTAAATAAGTGCTCACGTGACGGCCTGTTTTCACTATTTCCATGATTTTATCGCAATTTTCGACGACATTACCGGAACGGAACCTACCAAACCACTTTTGCGCTACACGTTCGTTTACAGTATCGGGTCCATAAACTAAATTTATTTTTTCAGCTGCTTTGGCAGCTTATTCGCCTTGATCGAAGACGAATTGTAAAATATAGCGATTTTTCTTTTTGCTGGTGTCCATCTTTGACGAGCGCTCACAACGTACTGAGTCAATCAATCGAAAAACTGTCAAAGACAAACTTTTAGCGCGAAGAAGCACGTTCACAGTGCCGTATAGTATGACATGATGCGACACGTAACATTAGTACTATTGACAATCTCTTAGATAAAAACCGAACGAACTTTTCACTCCAACTAAGATTTCTTCACGCTACCGCAGTATTTACCGATTCCTTCTTGGTTACCCTCCGGCAGTGAGGTGAGCAAAGGTGGAACAATATGTGTTATTCAAAAATGTTAATTTTCGCTATTTTTGTGCAATACTGCATTAAACATTAAAAAATATGACCGCTATAAACTTGATATTAAAAATTTCTATTCCCACGCGCGCCAAGTTTTACCTTTTCGTTTTTAAATATTTTGTTTTCTTGTTTTGTCTTACACTTTTGTGAAACACTTTATTTCAAAATACCATAAATAAATGTAAAAACAACAAAATATTAAAATAAAAAGAAACAATGAAATCAAAGAACCAAGCAAAAATAAGGGCTAAAGTTGGACGGCACCGTAATTTAAATAAGCCACACCCTATTTGAACAAAATATACCTAATAATGAACCTTTAAAGTGGAAATATTTTCGATTTCCTGCTGCTTGTTCTATTGAAATCTCGGAGCGGTATTTGATTACTATTTTTATTTTTTATTTATAAAATAAATACAACCGTTGGCTGTACAAAATTTATATACCCAGTATGCACAGCATCGTGTATAAAGAAGAATTCATAAATAAAATATGTTCCACATCATTGCGGTGTTTTTTTACGAGCGTTAAATGCATTTATTTTGACTTGACTTTTACACACAAACAACCAACACTTCGGAAACAATAAATAACAACTGCATAGACTCTTGGCTGGTTGGCTAGTTGGCTGGCTGGCTGGTCGAGCATTATTTTTAGCGGGGGTGCAGTGGCGCACACGGCTCCACTGTGCGGCCCAGACTATGATTATGATAGACATCATTAGGCGAGAAAATACTTTTATTATAAAGCATTTATAGAAATATCTGTATGCTTATATGTATATTTATTTATAATATTCCCCAATATACATACAAACAAATACATTTTATATACTTAAACACTTAATTGCTACTTAAAATACTTTGTCTTTCATGCTTTGGCTTTTTTCCACTAAATTCTTAGCAATTGGCGGTGCCGTTAACGATGTGTGGCAAGAAATTAGCAAAGTGCTGCCCGCTGATTTGATAACTTTAAGTAAATGTGTGAATAATTTTAAATACATTCTAATCAGATTAACATATATTTTTAAATAATTCAAAAAGTTTAATTAAATTAATTATATTTAAATTATATAAATTGTTTAATAGTACTAAATAAATTATTAAAAATAAATTATTTTGTAAAAAAATATTAATAAATAATATTTATACTTCTTAGAAAACAAATGTTATGCTGACTTATCAAACTAAAAGATTTTGCTAAAATGTATATGTATGTATGTATTGTTCATGTCGTTTAAGTAATATAAAAAGAACCTACATCATTTTCGTTAAGAATTTATTTTGAATTTTTATTAAATTAAATTAAATAATTCCCATGGTTTGTAAAAACTTCGAGCAACAGTACTTAATGTTATACAAAAAATTCTCAGCTGAAATTCAAAACCGCCCATCGATCGGTAAGTTGGAAAAAAATACCAGAGGTCAAAGGTTACGAAATGAGTTTTTCAAATATCAAGATTATTCAGAATTTCAGCCCCTCTGTTTCGTCTTTTTCGCCCAACCTGCGGTTCTTCTCTTCGCTATTTAGGTCCAGTTGGAAATACCGAGTAAGGCTAGGTGAACCTTCCGACCGAGTGGAGGCCTTCCTCTTTATATACTTCTACCGGCGAGTACTGCATCGAATACTTTAAAAGTTATTTAGACGACATGACCTAGCCAGCGTAGCTGCTGTCTATTCCTTCACTGAACTCTATCAGTGTCACCTTATGACTAGTACAGCTCATTCTTCCATGGTTCACAAACTTTTCCCTAAAACAATCGCTTCAGATGGCGTCTTTATTTTATTTACTTATTTATTTATTCATCGCAAGTTTTTTAAAATTAAACATTCCATCTAAATGCCCTGCCACTTAAATGCCTCTAAATTTGACACAAAATATATCTTAATCATTTAAAAATACGTGGACCAAAAATAAACACACCGTTAGCCAATTAGATCTATATGTATTTAAGTATTTTTATCTTCTTTTATTTAGAAAAGAAAACACTTCTACTTACAGTTCGTTTATGTTTTTTAATATTTTGAAATTTTGTTATTTTGTTTTTCAATTTTACGCTTAGTATTTTTCACTATATAAATTTTTATTTATTTTATTTATTATTTTTTTTTTACTTTTTTCTTGTTTTTATAGCAACATGAGTAAATATTTTTCAGTCCGTTTTTGAATGCCATTGTTCGAGCAATTATAAATTTCGCAGTTTTTTTTTTAATTTTTTTATATCCTTACAGGGATATCAAATCTTAATTTCGATTGCTTACCTACGTATTAAAATATTTGTACGTACCTTCCCAACTACCCATGCACGCCTGAAATATATACTTCATGTAAAAAATGGAGTAATCCAAAAGTAACCACAATCTTTACGAAAAGTATAGGCCTACTAACATTGCTATGTCCTAGGGCTGGACAATACAT